AATGCGAAATCCCTAACATGTATTTCAGAGCTAGAAATGTAGAACTTGGTAACGGGTTGGAATATGGGTGGGAGACATTTTTTGTCTATTGGTCTTCTGGCCTCTCTCCCTGATTAGAATGTAAGTCCCATGAGGGCAGGGATCCTGTTGGTCTTGTTCACCATTGTTTCCCTAACGACAGAGTACAGATGTTTCATAAAGATTTAATGCATGAAAAATGAGTGAGTGAATTAAGGAATGAGAGGGTAGTTTTGACAACATCTGTCTCAGCCTCAAGGTGGATGGTGGCAGCACACTGAGGGCGACCGGGGAGGCAGAAGGGTGGGATCACAGCTCAGCATCAGGGAGCTGTGAAGACACCCAGGCACAGCCACGCAGGCGTGTTTGTGAGCAGGGAGAGCATGGGGAAAGGGGTGTCTGTTTGGGTCCCTGTTGTACACCCAGCATGTAGAGCAGTACCTGGGACAGAGATGCTACATATGTTTGCTGAATGAATGAAAAAAATGAATGAATGGAGCTGATAGGGGATTTCTGGACTGGAACTATACCTGTGGATGACATCAGCACCTGGAAGATGTTTAAGGCAATGGGAGGGGATGAGGTCACCCAGGAAAGAGTATGTGGAGAGAGAAAGGGAGCAAGCCCTAGCCCCTACCAGCAACCAGAAATTAGCAACTCTGCTAATTTCAGAAGCAGAGACCCTAACTCAGCCCCAAGTGGAAGCCTACATTTCTGGTAGACTTGTATTAAATGGCTATAGCATATGCTTGCTAACCACTGCTCTTCTAGGGATCCCTGGAGAAGCAGGCAGGTAAGAGCAGGGAGTGGAGGAGCCCCCACAACCCTGTGGGGAAAGAAAGGAGAGGCTTCCAGCACCAACATCAGAAGGCCTCTGACCCCTCTGACTTGCAGCTATAGCCGTTTGGCTCCCTCTCCTCAGCCCCTAAAGCTGGATCAGGCCCAACTGAGGCTGTCCAGGAGACAGCCTTGTCCCCAGAGTCCCCGGCAGCCCTTTAGCGTGATGCTGCATTTTGAATGTGGTTACCATAGCCCCAAGTGACTGAGCCAGCTCACGTGCTACCTCTTGTGTGGGTACCAGTGTATGCACACACAGGGCTTGGAGCCAGGAAAGGAAGGAAAGTGCTCACTGCAATAATGCCACAGGAGCCCCACGAGGGTAGGCACTGGATGACATCACGACCCAGGCCCAGGGCACTCCTGTCACCCCAGACTAGAGGAGACACAGATGTTTCTCTGCCCTGCCCTATACCCCTGATGGGCTGGGAAGAGGCAGAGAAGAATTTAAGGAAAATCTTGCTAGGAAAGGAGTTCATCTGAACCCCGTCTGAATACCTGTGTTCTGGACCTGCCTCCACCACTAACTAGCTGTGCATGCCACGTGAGTCAGAAAGTCTTAGGATTGGAAACAGTCTTCTAATTCCACCTCCCACGCCAAGCAGAAATCCTTCCCACAAACCCTGGTGCAGCACATGATCATCCACTGTGTCTCCAAACATTTTCAGGGAAGGGAACTTCACTACCCCGCAGGGAAGCCCATTTTGATTTGGTAATTTTGTTAGAAAGCTTCTTTTTCAAAAAGCCTGGGAGGACCCACACCAGATGTTAACAGTGTCACCTCTGGGGAAGAAAGTGGGACTGTGGAAGGGTGACAGGGGATTCCCTGTTGATTTGGTTTGGGGATGGTTTCCAATACCTTGTATTAAATAAATGTTTGAGACAGGGTCTCATTTTGTCACCCAGGCTGGGGTGCAGTGGTACGATCATAGCTCACTGTAGCCTCAACCTCCTGGGCTCAAGAGATCCTCCCGAGAAGCTGGGACTACAGGCACATGCCATCACACCTGGCTAATTTTTTTTCTTTCTTTCTTTTTTTTTTTTTTTTTTTTTTGTAGAGATGGGGATCTCGCTACGTTATCCAGGCTGGTCTAAAACTTCTGGCCTCAAGCAATCCACTCTCCTCAGCTTCCCAAAGTGTTAGGATTACAGGCATGAGCCACCATGCCTGGCAGTATTAAATTTATCATAGCAAGGGAAACAACAGAAAATAAGGTTCTTATATGTACCTACTATGTACCCACAAAAATTACAAATCAAAAATTTCATTAAAAAAAGATTTTTTAAAATTTAAACCCAATCTGCCCTCCTAACATTTCCACCTATTATTTCCAGATCTGCTCTCTGCAATCAGAGAATAATCTAAACCCACTTCCCCATAGGTACCCTTTAAACACCTGGTAGTTGGGATCAGGTTTCCAAGACTTCTCCAGCTTGAGCCACTCCTCATGTAACTTGGGTTCCAGAGCAGCCCTACCCCTCTTACCCACTCCTGTGTGTCACAGAATAAAACTCCAGTGGGGTCGCAGAGGAAGGAACCAAGCAGTCACTGACCTAGGTGTTACCTGCTGCTAATTAATGAATGGATCCCAAGAGGTCATTCCTCCTCTTTCTGTGTGTGTGGGGTGTGGTATATACACGTAAAAGGGAGAGTGAGTTTAATGACTCACTTCTCCAAGCCTTGGTTTCTTATCTGTAAAGGGGGAAAACAATACCTTTGCTATGAGAATCTGTAGTTAAGGAAATAACATAAAAAGTACAAACTCCTACACTGGGGGTTATGACTCACGAGCCCATTCAGTTCAGACAGTGGCTAAGCATTGGACCCACAGAGCCTGACTGTTTTGAGTTCGAATCCCAGCTTTGCTAGTTAATGGCTGTGTGACTTTGGAGAAATGACCTGACACTGCTGTGTTGGTTTTCTCCTCGTAAAACAAAGGTAACGACAACATCAGTCTTGGAATGCATCTTTATAAGCATGAAATGTACTGCCCAGCACTCAATAAATGTTCGCTGTTAGGCATAATCATCCCCTCTTACTCCTTCGCAAGGAGATAAGGACTTCACTGAAATGAGGCTGATTCATTGAAAAGTGAGGACATCAAACCAAACTGGTCATCTGTTACTAGAGTGAATTGCCCCAAAATACTCCCCCCTCCCTCTAGCAATGGCTATGTGCTAGGCGCTGTGCTCAAGGCTTTGCAGGCCCCGGCTCATTTCTCCTCATGGCTCAATGAGGGAGATACTACCTCAGGCCGAAACTACATTTAAAAGATGAGGAAATAGAGGTTCAAACAGGTTGAGTAACTTGCCTAGGGTCACACAACAAGGAAGTGATGCAGTCAGGACTCAAACCCAAGTCTGCCTGACTCCAAAAGTCTGTCTTGTTCTTTTAAACAATGTCCTGTTCTTTTAACCAGCTCCCTACCTTGGGCTCGACTCCAGCTGTGGGGGACAGGAGGAAGCCAGAGCCCTTTCTTCCTTGACAGCACGGCCTGCTGTTTCCGTGAGGTGGGGAGAAGGGGCGATCTGCTGCTTCTCTTGCCCACCCCTCCACCCTCCTGCACACTGCCCCCTCCTCTTCTGTCAGCCTGAAAGGGTCACTAGGGACCCCAGCTGCCACCCCTTCAGTTCCCTCAGGACCACTCTGGCATCTGGTACCCCTGCTGTTGGCTGGGTTCTCAGCCCCTGACCATGAAATGGTTCCACATCGATCTACAGAAAAAACAGCCACTTTGGCCGTGGGCCCTGATGCATAATGTCATTATGGAGTCAGCAGCGCATCCCGTCCCATTATCGCCTGGCCAAGCTTTTCCAAGGCCAGCCTGGCTGCAAATGGCTTTCTCCTGTCTAGGGGGGCCACAGCTGCTGTTTGCCCTCCACTACCGGAGAAGAGATTTTATCTTTAATTGACACTGGCTGTCTGCCACCCCCTTGCCTCGGCTGGCCCAGGCTCCAAGTCCGATCTTTCCTTACACTTCAGGAACAGGCTTCCCCTGGCTGCTCCCCTCTCCTCGGCCATGCCCTCCTCACCCTGCTGTTCTACACTGCCCGAGACAGCTCCCAGGTGTGTTCGTATCCTTTCGTGGTGCAGCTGGACACGGAGATCTCAGAAATCTGTGGAGAAAAGTCTGAGAGTGACGGGAACAGGGCAGGGAGGGAGCTGACACTGTACCACTACTATACGTCATGTCACAGGTAGACACATGACACCAGGTCAGGCTCTTCACTCTGTCTCTGAAACAGGGGCCATCATTATCCTCTAACAAACAGGGAAACAGGTTTGGTGAGTCACCCCCAAGTTACCCAGCTAGCAAGCAGCAAAGCAAGACTTCAAATTAAGGCCCCTACGGCCCTACGTGGATGCCCAGAGTAAGAGTGAGGAGTAAGACAAGAATAAGGAGAGGTGAGCAGGCAACCAGACCCGCCAGAGCCCAGTGCAAGATGGAAATGCAGGGCCCCTCTTCAACCATTATTAACTTCATCATGGTGACAGCCAAGCATTAAACCCAGCGTGGGGCCCTTCTGAATGGCTGCACAGGTTGCACACCCATGAAGCTGGCCCTGCACGTGCCCCTACGTGAATGTGAGAGGGATAACAACAGTGAGAGCCAAGGGCCACATCTGACCATCACTTGCCATCTCCCTGTCCTATCTAGGCCCAGGATGTGTTCACTCTCCATCTGTAACTGGTCTCCAGTTGTGCCACCAGTCTCTAGTTGGCCTCAGTTCATCAGCCATCCAGTCAATAACTTTGGCATCCCCAGAGCCTTGGCCCATTTAGAACTGGTACAATTGCAGGGAGGAGGGGAGGCCCGCTGCACAAACAGAATACAGTGGAATTCCTTAAACAAAAAACAATCTTTTCTTCCATGTTATGGCAGGGGTTTAGGGACAGCAGTGGAGATTAGAACACTGTCTGGGACTCGGGGTCCTGGGTTAGTCCTCTTTGTGTGGCTGTGGGCTGATGACTTGTCCTCTCTGAGCACTAGTCTCTCCCTGTAAAATGCAGGGGTCAGGCTGCACTGACCATTCCTGCTGGAGTGGGGTTATGCCGAGTGTGTGCACTCCTCAGGTGTCAGGGGTGAGAGCCCCAGGAGGTCCCGATAGACACAGAGCCAGAAAGGAGAGGCAGAGGCAGGTGCTCACACAGCAGGAGCAGCAGGATGCTCCAGATGTCTTTATTGGGGCTCGAGCACAGCATGACAGTTGGAGGCATGCAGACAGGGCACAGGGCCCAGCCTGAGCATGCCCCAGACACACACAAGAGGACAGCTTTAGAAAAGGACTGACCAACACCAGGGAGGAGCAGGGAGGGAGGGCCCAGGGAGGGGCAGAGGCCAAGGCTGAAGGGGTCACCTGGCCTCTGCTATTGCACGCATCCTCTGGCCACTGGCCAGGAAGTACAGTATTGCAACTGGTTTCCTCTCGCCCAAGGCTTCCCTTCTCAGACCCCCTGGGACAGATGGGCAGACAGATCCCTTCCCTGCCCATCTGCCCAGCAGCATCTTTGACAACAAACAGACGAAAGAGACAGAACAAAATCAAAAATAAAAAAGACAAAATGCCCCCCCTAAGTCAAGGACAGAGATGGGGTGGAGGAAGGAGTGGAGGAGGCTGCAGAGGAGCCCCCTGGAAGTCCCCCCACAACGAGGGTGTGGGGTGGGAGGTAGAACCCCAATCTGGGGTGGGGTGGGGCTAGTGAAGCAGTGACCATGGGGGGAAGTCTGTCCTTCAATAGACTTCACCAGGTTACTTGCTGACAGGGGAAACACCCCTAAGACAGGAGCCTGGGACCACCCAGCTGGACTGGCAATTCCCAGATGCACTTTTCTTGGGACCTTCCACCCACACAGTCAGCAGAAACAACAGAAATCAGTGAAGGGGATGGGAAACTCTGGGTGGGGCAAGGGCTTAGGGAGACAAAGCCTAACAAAGAAGACAAACCACCAATAGCACGTGCACTACACACAAGAGTATAGTATGTATGAATATAGATACTATATGTGCATATATATCTCTTCAATGTACAGTAGAACAGAACATCAGACCCAGATGGCTCTGGGCCCCGAGGGTCGCATGGGAGGTTTTCCACCAGTCCTGTGCAAACAAGGATATCTGAGTCTTTCCCAGCGAAAAGATTCTTGTCTGGGTTCCAGAGTTTCCCTAAGCCTCTGGCTTTCTGTCTGTCTGCCTGTCTCTCTCACGTTGGTGCCGCTTTAAGAGAGGGTGAGGACTTCAGCCTGGGCATAGTTGGATGAGAGGGCGTCTTGGCAGGTCTCTGTGTTTAAAGAGCACAGGTGTGAGACACTGGGACGCACGCTTTCGGCTCAACATTGCCTTCTGGGTTGGGGGGACAGGGAGTTCAGCAAAAGTAAGGGAGAAACAAAGAATGAGATGTTAGAAGGAAGTCAGCTGCTGACCCACAGGGTGTGGGGCTGAGGAGCAGGCCAGGAGCAGAGCTGGAAGGCATGAGGAACCCAGGGCTAAAAGGCCAGGAAGAGCATGGATGGGTCAGGGAATGGGGTGAGCCCTTCACCCCTCTGCCAACCCAACTCTGGTGACTCAGGTGATGTTGCAGCTCATCGCCATATCTGTTCAGGTAACCACTAGCTCCAGGAACCACTAGCCTCTTAGGTCTTCAAAGCTCCAGTGCAGTGGAGAAAGGGACCATAGCTCTGCAGCCTTGCATGGAGGCAGTGAGGAAAGTTCCTGATGTGGCCTGTGGCTCACAGGCCATCACCCCAGCTGCTGCCTGACCAACTCGAGCTCTCCCCCAAGTAGCTCCATCTGCTGTCACCACCCTGGGATATTCCATTGTCCCAAGGAGCTGGTGAAGAAGGCTCCTGAGTATGATGCCATGTCGTGCCCAGCCCCCTTCCTCAATGTGGCAGGAACAGAGTCCCAGCAGTTGGAGGGCATGCAGCCTCAGGTGAATGCTGAAGGGGAAGGTCACGGAGGACGAATGTGCCTGTCTCAGGAGAGAAGGTCAGGAAATAGTACCTTATTGAGAAACCCGACCCCTCAGAGAGCCCTTTTGGGATCCCATCCTCAGCCTGGGATGTCTATGACCTGGGTCTTTCCTTCCCCTACCTTACCGGTGGGAGCACAGGTAGGGCAGGTAGGAGTACTGCTGTCCCAGCTGCAGATCTGGGTCAACAGTGGAGGTGGGAGTTCCAGACCTGCTGGGACAACCCCTGTAGCTCTTGGGTCTGAGGTCTAGGGCTAGGCCTCCTGTTAAGGCAGAGTGCAGATGTGGCATCCAGACCTCACAGTTTCCATCCTAGGCTTTGGGGTGCCTCTATCACCTTTCTAGGGAAGTGGTGTCCTCATCTTGGGGTGATGCTGTTTCCATCTTCTTAAGACTGTATGCCCCAGCCACCTCCTTAAACACTGCCCCTTTGGCTACGAGTGTTCTGGGCCTCTGAGTGCTATCCTTGAAATCAGAGGAGCTCAGGGTTCTTCAGAGACCCACTTCTGAGGACATGCAGACAGAGCTGTGGTCTTGCCCTGGACTCCCGTCTGCATAACTTAAGCAACACCTGCCACTGATCCCCACTCACTAGGGGACAGGGGAGTGCCTCTGGGCTCCCTGCAGGCAATTAGGCCCTAAGATGCACTGGTGAGAATGCCTGGGTTACTGAGGGGACTTGGATGGGCACTGTATGAGACAGAAGGAGTCACAGCAAGGCTGTCAAGTGTCCCAGAAGCCAGGGAGCAGAGCAGCCCATACTGAGATAAAGGCCTTAGATTGCTTTTCCACTGGCTTCCATGGACTCTCCATCCTCAGGGACCTCTGAGAGTTGGGGAAGGGTCTTCCTAGGAATCTCGTCCTGGATTCTTACCTATTTGACCCACCAGGGGTGGGGCAGGGATTTCAGAGGGTGGCACTGGCCAGAGCAGAGCAGGCCCTCCTCTCCTCTCCCAGGAAGCTCTGCGAAAGGACAGCCTAGGCCCTGCGGCCAGACCATGGCCTCCCCTCTGGCTCCTGTCAGCCAGCCACTAGGTTGCAGTGCTCTTCCCTCTGGTTCTACCTCTCAGAAGCCCTGAAAATTGGCCTCTAGGTTGCCAGTAGCCCTGCTACAGACTGGAAGGTGAGGTTGTGAACTCCTACCCAGACTGCCTCCCAGTTCTGTGGGAAGGGGCTGAGCTCCAGCTGCAGGGGAAAAGCGTCTGACAGCAAAGTAGTGGGTGCAGGTCCAAGTCTAGTCCAAGGAAAACAAACTCTACTCTCAGATGGTGGGTGGGAGAGAGCCTTCTCCCAGGGAGGGAGGCCCAAGGCCTGGGTAAGCCTGACGCCTGTGCAGGCGGCCACTTCCTGCGGCAGTGCCTGGTATGCAGGGGTTCTGCAAATTCCTGGGCTCACCCTGCCCTTTCCCAGGGCCCTGGGCAGGCCCAGAGGTGCTAAGAGGTAATAAGGGCAGACAGTCTACTCAGTCCGCCTGCTATCTGGGTTCTATCTCTCCCAGATGAAGCCAGAGAGCCAGGAGGGATGTGTGGGAGCCAGCTCCCCGAGGCATTAGGGCTCCAGCCTGGCACTGCTGCATCTTGTCGCCCAGGGACATCTGTGCCCACCATAGGGGTGCCATGAACAGGCCCAGCCCTGTGGGAGGGAAGAGAGGGAAGGAGGCGGTGGGTGCCGTGGAAACTTGGGCTCCTGACAACTTGAGGGCTGCCACAGAAATAGCGGCCTCGGTTCCCTGAATCAGAAAGGCAAGTCAGAGGAGAAAATAGCAGTGGCATCCCTGCTAACCTGCATACCCGGCTTGTGGTGTCCCTGTCAGAGTCCAGGCCCTCTGTGCCAGAGAGCCCTGTCACTGTTGGGGGAGTGGCCCTCGCATCTCCATCCTGTTCCACAGGCTTCCCCATCCCTGTCACTTCAAGGGCCTGCTCCCTCCTGAAGGGCAGTTGCATGGAGGCCCCCACATCCCCTCTTCTCAACTCTTAGGAGTCAGGTCACTTCATTCTCAGAGCAAGTGGGAGGCAGGCCCCACAAACCACTGCAGGGTAGGGGTAATCCTAGCACCCACTCTGAACAGACCTTTCCAGAAGGACATTTCTGCGTCTGCCCAAGACTGAGGGAGGTGCCGAGATGGGGACACTCCCGGCACAGGCTTTACCCAACACCCCAACCCCATGCAATAATCTGCTCTGCCTCTGCCCAGCCCTGATGCTGCCCTGCCATCCTATCTTTGCCGACCATGGAAGGAGCCGATCTGGACCTTACTTAGTCATTCTCTCCGCAAAGTTGCATAATCTGACTCTAAAAATTGCCAGGCGCACGGCTCTGCTGTCAGGTCTAATTCCCATCAGGTGAAACAGGAAACGTCTTGGCTGAGGCAACCTTGTTCCTCAGGCTGGGAGTGGCAGGAGCAGGTGGGGGCAAGATGGCCTCTGTCCCTACACTTCCCCTCAGCTGCCCCTGCGCAAGGTGTACCCCTGCTCACCCAGTGACTCACAAACCTGTTGTGCTCCTGGGCTCGTTAGGTAAATGAATACACTTAATTATAGAAATTAGATGAGTCTCCGGTTCTGGCAGGAATACGGAGCGCAGAGGCTGGGTGGGAACGGCAGGTGACTCAGAGGCAGGGCTGGGAGTTTGAGGGAGAGGGAGAGAGAAGAAAAACTGTCGCAGAAGCAGGGGAAGCAACGTGGAGAGCGATGCCGCAGCTCGGGGTGCAGAAGGGACACCAGGTGCTGCCAGTGGGAGTCACCACTGAATCTGGGCAGAGGCTTCCTGAGGGAAGGGCCTCCCTCGCCTAGGCAGCCCGCCCACGGCCTCCACCAAGCCTGAGGCTACAACGCTAGGGACCGCCACCTGCGCCCCAAGCCAGAGATAGAAACCATCAGGCCTCTTCTCCCAGGGCAGCACTGCTCATAGGCACTGCCCTTCCAAGGAGTCAAAGCACCTTTACACTGGCAGAGATGCCCCACATGACAGCCTTGTTCCTTGCTGGTCTGGGTGTGGGGTGGACAGACAGACAGACAGACAGGCTGTTTGGCTACTGGTTAAAGGCTATGAGGAATGGAAATACATTCACAGTGATTAAAAATATTAACGTAGGCCTGACTGCTCAGCAAGGCCGACTGGCCCCAGGCCACTGTGCACACATACACGCCTGGTGGCTGAGACTGGCCCTGGTGGGACCCCAAGAGGGAGGCAAGGCTGAGAGGCAGGTCCGGGGTGTGCACCTACAGCCCAGGAAGAGTCCAATATGGGGAGAAGCTCTGGGATCGCTCTCCCCTTTGCTCTCCGGTTCCAGAGCTGAACCTTTCGGGAAGCTGAAAGCTATGGAGGAGAGGCTCAGGGCCTAAGTTCTCCTCTGTCCTGACTGCTCCCTCCTGCTGCCCCTGTGGGCCCTGGGGAGTCCGCGCTGAGGGCATGGAAGGGCACCTGTTTGTGCGCATGTGCCCAGAGGTGAAGGTGCAGCTAAGGGGCAGAGTGACCAGGGGGTGGGCCGGTGAGGGGGTGGAAGGGGGTGAGCAGGAACTTTCTCAGAGGGTAGGGCGAGCTGTATCGTGATGCCAGTGGAGACAGCCCCAGGCTGGTTCCAGCCGCTCCAGCTATGTTGTTTAGACTCCGGGACTTTCCACAGCCTTGGTGAAGAAAAGGCACATGGGTCAGTGGGCGCAGCTCCTCAGGGTCCATGCTCCAGGAGACACTGCAGGGCAAGTGGCCCTGGGCTGGGGTGGAGGGGCCTGGCCCTCCTTGACTCTCCCTGGTCTCTAGGTCTCCTGGACTCCTGAGGACAGACTCCAGAGGCCCACACCCAGCTGACTTTTGTCCTGTCCTGCCCCCAGTTAAGCTCCCCACTAGCTCCTTGATAGTCCAGCTAGACAAAGACCCCACAGGCTCCAGCATCAGCCTTCTTGACTCTAAGAAGCCCTAATTATAATTAGCACCTACCACCATCCTCCCAGGGAGGTGACACTCTGACACACGGGCCTGCGTGGAGGAGGCCCAGGCCCACTCACTCCTGGTCTTAAGCGTAAACTGAGTGTGGAGAAGTGCGGCACAGTACAGTGTGGGGAAAGTTGCCGAGTGCACATTGGGAGTTTGGCGATGTTAACTGCCACGCTTGCTTAGCAGGGCCTGTTTCCCAGCAACCCACCTGTTCCTCTCGAAGGTCACTCTAATTGGCTGAGCTACATGCTTGTTGCCAAGAAGCAGTGTGGAGGCATCCTGAAAACAGAGCAGCCAGGCCCCACAGGAACCCCAGGGATATTGGATAGTGGGATGCTGGCTCCCCTGCCCCATGCACGTGCACATGAAACTCCTTCCCCAGGTGCAGTCCACTCCCAGCACCTCGTGGTCCCTCCTGACTGGTACCCTCATGGCCTCTTCCACACCTATTTCCACTGAGCCCCTCACAGCCCAGGGAGGAAAGCAGGTGTGTGTGGCACTCAGCTCTGTGTGTTCAAGTCCTACACAGTGACCGCTCCTTCCAGATTGTCCGCTCAGCATAGTCCAGCCAGAGCAAGGCTTTGGGCCTGAACAGGACACAGTGGAACCCACTGCCTGTTTGGGATGGTAGGCAAGAGAGAAGGCCAAATCCAGGGCCCAAGGATAGGACACAGCGGTGAACAAAGGAACACAGGCGAGGGTAGAGGTCTGAGCACCCTCCATCTGCAGCCTTTTGTTGGGGTTGCTGGACCACCTCCTTCTAGGCACCAGATCGCGATTCCTGTTTCTGCCAGTCCACAGAATACATGCCCAGCACAGCTGGACACACACCTTTCAGGGGCTGGTTAGACTCAGGGTGGCCTGGGGCTTCCATGGGAACAGTGGTACTGAAAGGGCTGAGAAAGAAACTAGAAGGTGCCCACAGAGCCTGCGTGGGCTGGCAGGCCACGGGACATCTTCAGAGGGATAGAGGCATCACAGGCTATTCCTGTAGCTGCCACTGCCCTTTCCTCACTCAACCTAGTTTGGGTCTGGAGTTTGGGGACAGAGGGAAGTGGGGGATGGGAAATCCAGCTGGTTAAGAAGTGGCGGAGAACCTGGGGAAGAGCTCTGTTTTGGAGGGAGTCAGGGTTTACTCTAGCAATAGGCAGAACGTTGAGGGAGGTTAGGTAACAGGGACAGGGCAAGGGAGACGAATAAGTGATCGAAAACTGGGTAGGAGGGCCCGGTCCTAAGACCCCTGGTTCTCAGCCACCACGGGCCCTCCACAATCTTTGGTCATTCCTAGCTCCACAGCCTAACCTCTGCCCTTGCCTTGCTGCAGGCTTAGGGCCTGGGGATGGAATTTCAGCCTTTTCTGACAAGCAGAGGATGGACTGCTCCTTCTACCTCTCCAAATACTGAGAACATTCCTCAGATGGGACCCACTCTTCCTGCCTACCTACCCCACCCCCTGGTCATCTCTGGCACTGCCTCAAGAGGACAGTCACCCCCTAGGTGCTTGCAGATGGAAGTCTGCCCATCCTGTGCTCCAGGACCCCTGGCACAGGATGGGAGGATGTGTGGGGCTCCCTGACTCCTGAACATTGCTGGTACCTCAAGGGGTGACCTACTTGGGAAGGCTTAGCTGTGTTTAAGGGAGGCCTAGGGAGAGGCTGGCAGTGACCCTGTGAAATGGGGCCTGAAGGCAGCAGTGGGAACGAGAGGTAGAAAGAGATGCAATGGAAGCATCGGGCGGGGACCCTGGCCTTGCGTGCTCTCAACCCTCTAGCGCTGCTCTTTCCCATGGGCAGCTGGACGGGAGCCGTGTGCCCTTTGAGATGAAGGAGGCCTTTCTAATCCAGGGACTGGGAGATCGGGTACCCATTCTAAAAGCGAGAGTTCGTCCAAGGCAGAGGAGATGGCGGCCATGGTCTCAGGGGAGGCGGGGACCTCAAGCTCTTGGGGGGGGACTCGGGAGACTCAGCTCTGTGGGGGCTCCCCCCCTGTGCAGCTTGGGAAACCATACCTTTCCGGACACTACCATCGGCGCAGGCATAGTCCCCAGCGCTGAGCAGGAAGCAGGCAGCTGCCTTCTTGTTTCTGTCTCGAGTGGTGGAGCGTCGCAGGGCCCGGCGCTCCTCAGGGGTGGGGGAGGAGGCCAGGGGTTGGGTGAGGCCAGCTCCCTCCTCATCGGACAGCACTGCATTGGCATCGCCATTCTGCTTAGAGTCTGAAGGGGGCACACAGAAAGGAGGCTGCGTGAGGGGCCACCCGGGCCTTGCTCGTGAGTCATCTGGGGTCTCCCAGACCCAGAGTGTTACTTCCTCAACCTCAGGAGGGGCGTAGCATCTACCTGGGAGGCAATGTTGTCAGAGCCAAGGAGCAGAAGGCAAAAGGCAGGATGCTGCACTTGGTGTAAAATGACTTCCCTCCCAGCCTCAGCCTAGGGTCTCTCCTCGGGGATGAAGCCACAGCGCAGAGGCCCTACAGCAGCGACTCCTCAAATCTGCCTGCTGACGGCTGCCCCAGGAGATCAGCCCAAAGCAGGCCGCAGACTCTACTTCCTCCTTGGGTCTGGCTCAGGCTGACTCTTGGATGAGTCTGCATTCCCTTGGAGAATACCTGGCTTGTTAGGGGTGAGGGGTGGCATGGCAAGGGTTAAACCTATAAAGTAGTATCCATGCTTTCTCCCTGGATGACAGTCATTCTTGTTCACTGGGCATCTAGGCCAGAGTCCTGTGCCCAAAAGGCCTACAGCCCTCTGCAATTAGGGCTGACCTTTGAGGAGGATACCATGGGAAAAGCTCCGACGCAGCTCCCAAGTGCTGTGGGCTTAGTCCCCACCCCTTGCCTCTGTCAGGCAGTAGCACAGGTGAAGCTGGGCCCTTGGATCTGGAGAAGGGGGTGCTACTCTATCTGAAGACAGTGGCCCTGCCATTGGCCAGGCATGCCCTTACTGTGGCTGCTGTCAGGGTTAGGCTAAGTGCAAGGCTGATAGGGCCACAGTTAAGTGTACCTTGAGGAGCTGACTTAAGGACTTCTACATTTTAATACTGGGATTCTCTTTATGCGCTGAATGGGCCTCAGAGTGCAGCTGAAATTCCCCGGGAGATTAATATTCACAAATTAGGAAGCAGTGCCACTTTGGTGGGGGAGAAATGGGAAGCCTGATGGGTGCTATTCTATCAAGGCCTTTGGAAGACCCAGGCCCCTGACATGACCCCAGGGAATAAGTGGACCCGGGCATGTATGATAGGCACATGCCAAAGGCCACAGGTGAGTGTCCCAAGCTACGCGCCTCTCCTGCAGGGTCAGTCCCACTTTGCCCCAGAGCTTACCCATAGTCTCCTGGCTCCAGTCCAGCTCCCCATACCAGGAATTCCATACCTTTCCCAGGAGCCCAGCCTACACATAACAGTCAGGATGCTTTTCCCTCTCTCCAACCTAAATCCATGTTGTTGGGGATTAAGCTGTTTTCCATTCCCCAACTCCTGATTCAGGGATGGAGATGAGCTTTCTTGGGATGGCCTTTCCCATCCTTGAGGGACAGGATTCAGATGCCCAGGCTCTCCCCTTCCAGGGCACAGATATTAGTTTATTCCATGTTCTTCCCCTTCCCAACACTGTCTGGGCCACTCCTTCCTCAGTTCCTTTCCACCCCATGTCAAACCCTGAGCCCAGGACTCAATCTAGCTTGTGCTGAACAGAAGGCAGCCTCCCACTGCTATTACGTTATCACATTTATTAGGCCGAGATACCAGACTCGAACGTTTGCAAAGAAGTGATTCATGTGTTGACGTACCTTGGAAGAACAGCTGCCCTGCTCATTGGCTAATATTGACAGTGCCTGACATTTGTAAAGTGGTTTTAACTTCTCAAAGTACTTTCATATCTGTCATTCATTCGGGTCTCTCAAAATCTTGAGGGTAGGGTATGATATTATTCCCATTTTACAGGTGCCTAGAGATGGGGGGTGACCGGCCTCAGGGCACACAGCACAGTGGCCAAGACTGGATTTAAAACCAGGGCGTCTAATATACAGCCCCATGTACTGCTCATCACACCCTACCCTGGGTGGAATACTCAGTCCAAAGATCCGATGTTTGGGAAGCTATTAGAGACCCAGCCAGAGGATAGAGAAATTCGGCCTCAACACCCTGCCCTCATAAAGGCACCTCTTATGCTTACGGAAGCCCCACACAAAACACATGCCCAAATCCCAAGGGCCGAGGTTCATTTGGAAACTCCCTAGGCCACTGGGGGAAAAGGGATTTTCCTTCCCAACCCCTAATCTCACCTGCCCGTTTCCTCTCGATCATACCCTCTTCCCGGGCAGGGGGGCTGGTATCACTGTAGGTGCTGTCCCGGGGGGAGGTCTCCTCAGACTTGCAGTACATGGGTGACTCCAGCTGGGCCGGCCGTGGCACGTGCTTCTTCCGCTTCTTGGGCAGCTTCTGCTTGGCCATGGCCAGGGAGTAGTACATGCCAAAGTTGTTGACGATGACAGGCACCGGCATGGCGATGGTAAGCACGCCAGCCAGCGCACACAGTGCCCCTACCAGCATGCCTGACCACGTCTTGGGGTACATGTCTCCATAGCCCAGTGTCGTCATGGTGACCACAGCCCACCAGAAGCCAATGGGGATGTTCTTGAAGTCGGTGTGGTCATTACCCCGAGGGTCGGAGGGCCTGGCCCCGATGCGCTCAGCATAGTAGATCATGGTGGCAAAGATGAGCACGCCCAGGGCCAGGAAGATGATAAGCAGCAGGAACTCATTGGTGCTGGCCCTCAGCGTGTGGCCCAGCACGCGCAGCCCCACGAAGTGGCGTGTGAGCTTGAAGATACGCAGGATGCGCACGAAGCGCACCACGCGCAGGAAGCCCAGCACGTCTCGGGCTGCCTTGGACGACAGGCCGCTCAGCCCTACCTCCAGGTAGAAGGGCAGGATGGCCACAAAGTCGATGATGTTGAGCAGATTCTTGACGAAGTCCAGCGTGTCGGGGCAGCACACGATGCGCACCAGGAACTCCAACGTGAACCACAGCACGCATACACCCTCGATGTAGGTCAGGATGGGCTCTGTCTCTACCTCCCGCCGGAAGTGCACGCTGGTGATGTTCCCCACGCGGAGGATCTCTGTCACATTGCGGTCGATATTAAAGGCCTCATGTGTCTCCAGGCAGAAAGTGGTGATGGAGACCAGGATGAAGAAGAGAGAGGCAAAGGCCACTACCTATGGGCAGGGGAGGAGAGCAGGGGGCAGCTGTCAGATAGGGATGGATGGGCCCAGCTGGGGACATGGACTTCTGCATGAAGGTTACCAGAAAGGGCATTCCAGGGTGAGAGGTGGGATTAACATGTGGAGACAGGGCCGGAAGTCCCTCCTCAGAGGGTCTTTATCCATATGCTTGGGGGCTCTCAGGCAATGATTCCCAATCTTTGTTACAGAAGACCGAAGCTGCTCTTGGCCAGAAGCAACTGGTCAGGGATCTACAGCTGCCAGACCTGCCTTCGATAGCTTTGCCCACCTCTGACCCATATGCATTTTAAGGCTTGTCAAGCTGCAACAGGAATCTTGTTACAATGCACTCCTGATCCAGAGGCTTGGGGCAGGTCCTGTGATTTTGCATTTGTAACAAGCACCCAGGTGAGGCTCTTTGTCCATGCACCACAGTTGCAGTGACTGGGCTTTAAGGCAATGGTCCTCAAAGTATGGTCCTGGACCAGAAGCATTAGGTCTCTGGTCCTTTGGTTAGAAACGCAAGTTTCAAACTTTACCTAAAGCTACTGAGTGAGAAATGCCGAGGGGTAGCATCCAGCAATGTTTTAACAAACCTTCTAAGTAATCCTAATGCACACTAGTTTGAGGTCCACTGTATGAAGGGATGCTCAGAGGCAGGATGCTGCAAGGAATGACCCTGGACCACTTTCTGCTGGCTGAGCCTATTAGCCATAGTCTCTTCTTCTGCCTCTCACCTTAGGATGTCCCCTCTGACTGCCTAGATGGTGAGGAAGTCCCCGAAGGCAGACAACATGCGCACCATGGCAGTGGAGAGGGTGGTCTAGTCGCAAGAACTAGTCTCACTCCTTCCTACAAACTGACATTTCCTGGAACTCTGAGCTCCAAAGAAAAAGGAATCACACCCATCAGCATCAGAGTGGCAGGGGCTAATCCCGACAGCTGCTGGGATCTCAGCTAGAAGGATGACAGCAGCACTCGGCAGAGGAACGGCGGCTGGGTTTAAGTGTCCAATCATTATGAATGGAGATGAAATGCATGTGTAATAACACCAATTATGGAGCCTTCATGTGTTATTCATGCCGTGCCATCCACCACTGTCAGGAGGCCCACTGATGACGTCCAGTCTCATGCCTCCTGCTGCCGCCTATCCTGCGTGATGGCTGGACTGGGCTTCCTCCTTGACCAGATATGGCTGTGCCTAAATAGGTGGGTAAGGGAGGTCTGTGGGCTCATGGTACCATTTGGTAATCCCCAAGTCTGTCTGACCCACCCTGATTTCCACCTGGCTGCGTGGGCAGGCACTGGCATGTGCCCATCCCCTATCCAGTGAGGACTCAGAGAGGTTTTCCGCCCTGGGAGTCTGCACTGGGATGGGGAAGGCATACCTTGTTCTTAGTACTGCAAAACACCAGTGAAGAATACAAGGGGACCTGGGAAAATGAAGCAAGCAGCAGCACCGCCAGGGCTTCTGGAGCAGGAGAAAGTTTGAGGGGGGAGATCTGGGAATGAACAGTCCTCAGCTGGCTCTTCCGTGTCTGGTACTGTTAAGCACTCTGTATATGCTTCAATGGCCTTCAGTCCTCCCTACGACCCTGTAACGCACGCCTCATCATCCCATTTTATGCAGGATGAACTGATCATCAGAGACGTTACATATATGCTTAAGGTCACGCAGTCCGGAAGGGGTAAAAACCAGATTTGAACTCAGAACTGTTTAACTTCAAAGGCTGTACCTTTTCTTCATACCACAATGTTTTCACCACCTCCCAGGCAGGGTCAATTCACAGGCCTGGGAAAGCCGTCTCTGAATCACTGATCCTGTTCCCAGTTAGTTCCCTGACGACTGCTATTTCACCCGTGGGAATGTGTGTCTCGGGCTTAGGACAGATCCCCCATCACACACCTCAATGTACCTCATTTACACTTTAACTTGGATGGGTTGATCAGAAACAGCACGGAAGGAGAAGGCTGGGCCCAAGGGGATGAATGGAGATGAAATGCGTGTGTAATAACAATTACACAGACCCACTTTCCCTATTTTACAACATTACTGGAGTTTTTCCTGCTTGCTTCTCCCCAGTGAAGGTAAGTTTAAGTTCCTTTTCTGGCCTTATTCTTCCTCCTCTGAGAAAGGGGCTGCCAAGTCAATACAGGCTGATGTGGGCATTAAGTAAATGGCTCCAGCCTGTGGGCTCTCCATGGCCATCCATAGGTGGGCTGGCAAAAGTGCCTGTCCATGGCCTTGGTCATGCCGGGAATCCAGACCCGGCACCACCCTCTCCCCTGAAAAACAGAGTGGTTGAGGTAAGGGGCAGGGACAGCATATCCCAATTCTGCCAGGAACCATGGGAAGCAGAAGCTGGCTCTCTGAGGAAAAGTTAGCCAGGAGAGTAGGCCCACCTGGGAGACTGAGCGTAAAGTTAATTAGTGACTTGGAAAAACAAGTTCAGGAAGAGCTGCCAAGAGGGTGAGCAGGGGGAGGGAGGGAGGACGGCGTGGCCCTGGCCATCCTCTCATAGCAGGGCCAGCGAGCCTGCCTCGCTGCCCTCCTCACCTGCCACCACCACGGGCTCATTCTGCAGCAGGCAAGAGAGTCCTTCAGGCCCCGTGGGTACCAGCCACATCCTGGATTAGGGAACTACCCTCTGGATTCCTGTCTACCCGCTCACCTTTACTTTTTTTCAAAATACAGAACTGTTCCATCTACTATTAACTGCTACCCCTCACTTCCACCCTGAGAAGAGGAGGGGAGCTAAAGCGTGGTCATGTGTGCCCATTTTTTAAGTGAAATAGAGGCACAAGAAAAGGCAGATGATTTGCTCAGGATCACACTGAGGCCAAGTCTCCTGACTCTCAGCTCAAAGCTCTTTCCAATTGGCGCCTCTGACCAAGCAGGTGGGTATAATCCCCTCCTCCTTTGTTGAAACCTTAGTGGGGCCTCAGTCTCCACTGTGGCCTCTCCAGGGCTGGGGCAGCAGGCACTCAGCAGGCCCCAAGAAGCCCTCCCTCCCCAAGGAGACAGAGATGCGGCCTGAACTGTGGCACATTGCTCCAGGTGTGCCCTGAGGTTACAGGTTCCCCTTCAGGGCCCAAATTATTCCTTTCTGACCTAAGTTGCTCCCCAAACTGATTCATTTCATAAGTGGTTGACCCTGCTTGCAAATGGTGCTTTTCCCCAGGCCTTCCCCTCTGGAGGCAGGGATACACAGCTCCCTTGACTAGGGCTTCCTAGCACAAAACAGGGCCAAGGGAAGAAGAGGTGGTTGCAGCAACACCACCCTGCTTAGAGGCCAAAGCCTCAGCCTCGAGTCTTCTATTCATTCCCCACTGGACCATCCTGCCATCCTACAGAGCTGGCAGTGGAGATCTGAGTCTCCCTCCCATGGGCTCCTGTGCTGAAAGACTAAGGGCAGAGAACAGCTAAGGAACCCTATACTAGAAGCCTTGGGCCCCGGTTTAGACTTCCAGGATTTCTCATCCTGGCCCTGCCACTCAATCAGGTAAATGAATGGTAACCTCTGTACCTGTTTCCTCTATATAAAATGGGGACAGCACTAGTACTCCCTTCACAGTGTTGCGGTAGGATTAAATGAGCTTCTGCATGGTAAATGCCTGGCACCCAATAAGTGCTCCATAAAATGGAAATAAGAGTTGAGGAGGGGTAGGGTCCTCTGCGTGCAGCTTTTGGAGGTGAAGCTGAATCTGGAGCCAAAATATCACAGAATCTTCGCTTTTTAGAAGTGAAAAAGACTGAGGAAGTTACCCAGTTCAACTCCATTTCTGCTGTTTTACAGATGAAGAAACTGAGGCCCAGGGAGGAGTGGCTTGTCCTGATTTTCACGGCTGAAGCTGCTAGTTCTTTCCACCACAAAGGGCATGGATTCTGCTGGAAGTCAAAACTTCCCAAGTAGAAAACTGCCGGTGAACTGGCTCCACTGGGGGCAGCTCCTCTCCTGCTGGGAGGATGCAGGGGGGTCTCAGCACCCTGGACAGCAGGCTCCCATCACCCAAGCAGGAGAGTGTCTCTCCTCCCAACTCCCTGTGCCCCCTGGGCTCCTCAGACACACTGCCTGGCTGTGTCCTGCTGAAAACCCATCCATCTCCAAAGGCACAGGTGTTCAGCACTATTACCAGCCTCCTCCACCAACCCCATCGTTGGACTGTCCCTAGAAATGTAAAGTCACACACTTCTGGGTTCAAGCTGGGCTCTGCTACTGACTGCATATGAGACCTCCATGAGTTCCTTAACCTCTCCAAGCCTTAAGGTCTTCATTTATAAAACGGAAAAGGGAGTGCCTACCAAGTACCAGACATTGTGTTTGGGAAAGTACCAGACAACCACCCTTGCCCCTGGGACCTTACATTCTAGTGGAGGCAGACTGTTAACAAATAAACAAGCAAAATACACAGTATGTCAGGTGGTCTAAGTGTTATGAAAAAAATAAAGAGAAAAAGGAGATAAGGGGTGTGAGGATAGGGGAGTTGTTTCCAATAGAGAGATCAGGTAAGGCCTTAACAACAAGGTGACACCTGAACAGCCCTGAACAGTGAGGAAGTGAGTCATACGAAGACCCAGAAAGTTCGAGGCAGAAGGGATGAGTACTGCAAGGGTCCTGAGGCTACAATCTGCTTGCTATGTTTGAGGGGACGAGGGTAGTATTTACTTTGTACAGTTGTTTTGAGGATGCAAAGGAATGATACTTGTAAAACTCAGCACAAAGCCTACAGCGTTCCAGGAATCTGGCACAGGCTGGGTCGAGGGGAGAGGTGATAGACATCAATCATTGGGAACTGAATACAATCAGCGGGGGCAGGGGAGGAGAGCCCAGGGAAGAAGGGCCAGGGAGACAGATGGACAGATAAACATAAGGAGACTCGGGCCCAAAAACCTATATTAAGGATGAAGTGTAGGAGAAAGGAAAATTGAGAACACAACCAAAGACACTAGCAGAGTAAGATCTGTGGGGATGGGGTGAGGGACTGAGGGACTG